TTTTTTTTTTCTTTTGCTAAGACAATTAGTTATTAGTAGCTACTGCCTTTATTGTGAATTCAATTATGATTATATAACTTATACAAAGTGATCTCTATACTATACTAGCAGATAGTACATAAGTTTTTATATATTAAAGTATTATTTAATCTTATCCTAACCTTCTTGTTTGTATGTTCATTAAACTATTATATATGTTATCTGACTATAGGATTCTAAAAAGCTTTTTTGCTAACTAACTATTTATATTTAATCTTTATTAACAGAATTTATCTTTGTAAAGTTTATTCAGACCTCAGTACTAACTTCATAGCATATTTTTAGTACTTAGCTATACCTTGCTCTAGTTCTTAGACTCCTAATCTAGATAGCTTAGAAGAACTATAATCTGTTCCTAGTATTCTAAGAGTCTGTCTCTCAAGATTTATTTTTTCTGGTTCAAGACTTTTAGCAGTCTAATTGGTGGTATCTCTTACTTGAGATTCTTGTTTACCTAATTTTTTTCATATTGATATTTATTTTTTAGGTTTAACCTTTATAGTAGTACTATCAAAGATCTATGTTATCTCTTTACTCAGATCTTCTTAAGTGAATTTTAGCTTCTTAGTTCTATAAGTTTATACAATTACAAGAACTTATTTTGGGTTTGCACTATCTGATGCTAGTTTGCATTTTTTTGTATAACTTTAATATTGTACAGATGCCCTATAACCTTTTAGTCATGCTGATATAACTATAGTTACAGATTTCTTATTCTATCTGATTAATGGATTACTATTGTCATAATACTACTTACCTTCTATAATACTAATATTACATAAATAGTTTTTCAAATTTATACTATTAGTAACTTTTGAATTCTCAACTTATCATTTGAAAAGTTGATAACTTATCTACTTTATTAAATTGTTACACTCCTATTTTATATTTTATTATTTTAAAATTTAAAATTATAAAAAATTTATATTTTTATTTTTGATTTAGATTTTTTATTTTAAATTTTGATTTTGATTGTTAATATTATTAGTTATTTGTTAGTTATTATATATATTTTAAAATTGTCTAATTTTTAAATTAAATTTTTTATTTTACTAATATTATTATTTTTTTTTCTTAAGCAGTCATACTAGTACTTTATTAAGATTTTAAAATTATATTTGCAATTATATAAATATTTTTAATAACTAAGCTTAGCATTACCTGGCCATTCTAATGTTATTTAAGTGCAACCTGTTACATTACTTTAAGCAGAAGTAAGCCACTCATCTGACTACTTAAAGTCTATAATGAAAAGGTCTTCTCTCTTCTATGACAAGCTCTAAAATTGTTTTTTGTACTTCTTTTCTGATTTGTTTTCTTTTTTTTTTACTTTCTCTTTTCTTTATTCTATAGCTTGCTGTCTTTTTTAGTTTTCAGGTTTGCTATTCCATCTGTATATATTATGTACTTGTTCTTGTTTCTTGTTATATTTCTTCTTAAAACTTCTACTATTTCTTGACTAATGCTGTTTTTTAACTTTTGTCACCTGACTATCTCTACCTTTGGTTCTTCTACTATTCTCAGTCCTTTAAGTTTCTGTTCTTTTATCACTGATTTGCTTGTTTTCATTACTTCTGTTATTTGATCTATTACTATCTTGATCTTATTACTGCCTTTTTTTTTATTAATGCATTAGGAATTACATTGATTCTGTTATTTACTCTTATCTACTGTTAGCAGCTATCTTTCAGGTACTCTTCTTCTCTTGTATAACCTTTACATTTGTTAATTTCGATAGCTAATTCACTTTTTTTACTCTACATTTGCCAATATTCTACTAGTATTTTTTTCTTTTTCTTCTTAACTATTTTTCCCAACTGTCAGTTGTTCTGTGCACTATATATTACCTATTCTTTTCTTCTTTTGTCTTCTGAAATACACTCCCATCTCATCTGCATTATTTGAGTGTTTTGTTCAATTGTTCTATATTGTCTTTTAACTTCTTTATTTTTTGGTCTAATAAGTACTTTTCATTTTATCGCTTTAAACCATTCTGCTTTTTTTTCCTTACTTGATAGGCCTTGGTAACTTTTCAACTACTGTCATGTAATTAATCTCTCTTCTTTTATATCTGTCAGCTAGTTTAGATATATTATGTCTGTTTTATTTATTCTTGTACTACTTTTTTTTGTAGTTGTATGTTTATAAGTTTTCTTATTTTGATTTCATATTTGAACATTGTTCATAGATTGCCTTTTGTTCTTATATTTATATTAAGTTTTTTTGTTTTTAACAATATCAGACAAGCTAAGTTACTTTTCCAACCTTTTATATTTTCTGACAACTCCTCTATTTTCTATATATCTTCTATTAAACCTGCTCTTTGGCACCTCTATGTTATTCTTAATTTTGTTAACTGACCAAGACTACCTTGTCTGTTTAGTTTTGCTAATAGGCCACTTATTTGTTTTGTCGTTAACTCTTGTAATGTTTTGCAGCTTTCAAGATCTTTGTATTCTATTATGCAGTTTTTTAATGTTCTTTGTAGGTTGCTTTTTTGCTTTACCAAACTTATTATTAGTTGGTATATTTTATTTATACTTCTTTCTGACATTTTTGTTAGTTGTAGCATATAACTTAGTTTTGGTATTATTATCATATTGTTTATATATATGATCTGACTCATCATCATCTTTTTGTATCTAAGGTCTCTTATTGTTTGGCTGATTATTCTTTTAGCTCTTTTTTTAACTAGCACTTCACTTATTCTATTATTCAGTTATATCTCTAATAAGCAAACTATCTTGTTCTTTGCTTTTTCTGTTATTTCGTTTCCTCCAAAAGTTACTTCTCTTTCTTCTTTTTTTACTTTTGTGTTCATTATTAACAGCTTTGACTTGGATCTATTTATCTTTATATCGTTCATTTTATAAAATTCTTTTGTTATTTTTAATATTTTCATTAGCTATTTTTTACTATTTGCAATCTACATTATGTCATCTACATATGCAATAGCTGCTTGGTAGTACTTCATGATGTTATTGCATTGCATTCCTCTTTTGACCTATTGTTCTACTGTATATTCTAAGTTTTTATTTTCTTGTATTCTCTCTACCAGTAGATCATAAAACAGTCACCATATTAATAAAGATATTACTTCTCCTTAATCTATGCTATCTTCTTCTGTTATCTCTTCTGTTAGACTGTAGGTTGTAATAATTTTTAGTTGCCTTTCATGAAACAGATCTAGGATGTATTTCATCATTCTTTTAGGTATTTTAACCTTATGTAGTGCTAATTCTAGACTTTCAAGTAGAACTGAATCAAATGCTTTTTTTATATCTTGTAAAAGTATCCATATTTCTTTACCCTTCTTTTTTGTTTCTTCTATTATCATATTGAGAATATGTACTGGTTGTTCTGTTGAGTTGCCTGAAAGGCCTGCATAATTTGGTCCTTTGAGTATTTCTTTTTCTGTAAACACTTTGGCAAGCCTTCTAGTTATCACCTTTGTTACAATCTTTCTAAATAGTTCTATTAATGCTATTGGTCATATATTGTTTAAACTGTATTTCTACTTAACATCTTTAGGTATTGGATAAACTTGTGCTATCTTCCATTTTATTGATAATACAGTTATATAACATTAAATAATATTTGTAATATTATTATTATTTTACAAACTCAAAAAATATTATACCAAATACTGCAGTACAAGAATTTCAAGTATTCTTTACACAAACTTCAAGTATTTTGTATAAACTTCAAGTATTTCTGTATAAACTTCAAGTATTCTTATACAAATTTCAAATGTTCTTGCACAATACCCAAGTATAATTATATGGATTCAAGTATTTTAACACATATTTTAAGTACTTTAAACACAAATAATAAATATTATAAATATTATTTCCAACTGCCTTTATGCAAGTTAGACACATTATCATCTAATATTACTGAAATTTCTACTATTTCTACTAGGTAAAGAGATATATAAAAGGTACTTTTTTTCTTTTTTTTGCTAATTCTAAGTTCTTATACTTCAACCTAGACATTACTACCTTTTACCTCTTTAACTTATAAAATGTGATTTCTTCTCTAAAGTAATTCCTATAATCAAGATTATTATCATATATTTGTTAATAAAAATTAATTTATATACTGTTACTATCATGGCATGTTTATATTGAATTATTATAAAATTATAAATTTCTAGTTTATTATATATATCTAGAGTCAACTATACTATTTAATTAAATATAAACATTTTAGCAAAACTTTATTCTAAAAAAAATACTACATAAGGCCATACAAACTTAATAAATTGGTTTTTATAACCCGGCTGGATAAAAATTTACAAAACTCTAAAAAAAAATTTCAAGTATATTTACTATTCGGGTGAGTTTTTTTATAAAAAATTTTGTTTTTAATATATATAATTTTTTGAAAATAAAATTAAAAGCCGGGTTGCCGGGTCACTTTTGAAAATTTTATGTTATGAAAACCGATTTATTAAAATACTAAAACCAAAAATTTTTACATTTAGACAATTTAAAAAAATGAATAAATTCTAGACATAAATTATATAATTAATGTAGCAATATAAATAACTTTATAAAAATAAATAGCTTAGCCAAATCTTTTAAAATAACCAAATTATTAAATTAAAAATTCAAGATTTTTAAGCTTATGAATATTTATACTTAATGTTTTTTGATAACGATTAAATTTAATTGAATCTTATTTTTTTTATTCGAAGAAATAAACTCTTAACTAATATTTTCAAAGCATCCATCACCCTGAAGTCAATTCGCGAATCAAAAAATAGTATGCTAAATGTTATATTTTAGAAAAAAAAAATTAGGTAATAAGATTATATTGCTATAATTATCTTTATCAAAGATCAAAAAATATTATGCAATATTATAAACAATCTCAAAAGTAATCACTGATAATTATCGCTAGCAATAAAGGTTGCTTTTGATGCATTATACTTAAAGTATCTTACAAGAAGACATTTTTTATTTTTGGCCTTTCTTAGCCTGTTTAATCAATTCGGTGAATTGATCATGATATCTAATCTGTAAATTGCCGTAAAAAATTAAGGCATTAATGAAAGATAAATTCAAATAAAGCAGACAATAATCAAGGATATCGTAAGATTTTGCATCATCTTCATTAATCAATGACTTTTTAATGTTGACAACGCCCTTTGCATCACCACTTCGCTGTGCCTTCTCCCATCTGACCATTTCTTTAAGTAATTCAACTCTATCTTTTCTTTTCGTGGCATCAACATTTGAATTCCAAAGGTTCAGATAATGAGCATGGCGCCTAATTAACTCTTCCCTAGTACCTTGTGCAGACAATCCTTCTTTCTAAACAGAATGAAAATAGTAACATTGATTCTTTGGTCTAATTATTTAAAAAAATTATTTATTGTTACGATACAAGTACCCTTAACTCATCTTTTAAAGCTTTGTCTTTAAGTAATGCATATACAACTTTTGGTTTCTTATCTACGTGTTTGTTACTATAATTATGTATATATTTAGTAATGAATAATAAAATGCAAGACGTTCCAAATAAATTGCCAACCCTGCAAGGAAAAAACACACCAATTTTCAACGTTGTTGTAGATGTTCTCCTGCTCTCTGGTTTCAAATTTTATCCGTTTGGATGGATTATTACATTCTCCATAATTATTGGATAATTCGCATGATTCTGGGGTCACTATAGTCTTTAGTGTCAATAGTTTTTTGTATATGAAACTCTAGACTTTTTTATGATAAAGATTATTAATGTATATCCCACACCTACTTTATCAGTTTTGACTTCAAGGCCTTGTTTGTATAGTTGTGTTATTAGTGATCTATCAATAATTGTTCAACAGTATTTTTATGTGGTTCAATTTCATTCAACGAAATTATCTTAAAAGAGATAGTACCATCTTTACCTCATTTTTTCATACTCTTTTACAAAATCTTCAATAATACTATTTTTACACATTTGTGCAAATGATGTAAACCAATATCCGCATATAGGACATTCCATTGCTGTTGCTTTATTTTCAAAATTGCACTTTAAACACCCTGCACAAAAAGTATGCTGACATTTTGTTGACACTGGTAGCTCATAATATTTATTACATATCTGACAGCGAAGGTGTCGATCAATTGACAACTCGTTGAAGGAGGTTTCAAGTTGAGTTAAAGCTGTAAGAGTATTTGTAGACGTATTCTTATCCATGAGTATACATAGATTCTTCAGTATTGCGCAGAATAAATTTGTGAACAACTGTTCTTTACGCGAGCTATGTTGATACGAAAGTCGCGAAATCAATGGGGTTAGAGTCGTGCGAGTCAATTGATTGCCTTACAGGAGTAAGTGAATCGGATCAAATGTAACGCAAAATAAAACATATGGGTGGATTTTGTGATTTTTAGCAGCCAAATTTATAATTTAATTTTGGTCGAGTCAGGGCCGATGATTTGACCTGAACTCTGCGTGTGGTTAAGGCAAATTCTGTAATTTACTGCGGTAGATTTTTTTTATGAATTCGATAAATACTAATTTTGTGACTTAATGTGCTTATATATAAAAAATTTATTTGTATCAAAAAAAATTAAGAATTAAAAAAAAGTTTACACTGCTATATACCTTGTATGCTATTATTTATTTATTTTTTTAAATATTAAAGGTAAGACCATGCTATTATTTATTTTGATAACAAAGCAATTATTTTTTATTAAAATAACATATTTAGATGTTTTAAAAAATCAAGTGAAAGACTTTGATAATTATTATTTAAAATATTATTATATGTAGAAAACTATGTTTAATACTGCAATCAGATGCCAAAAGCCAAATATAATTTAATGCTATTTCTAATAAATTTAATAAAATTAATTGCATTGTTATTCAATATTTATAAAGATTAGTTGTTTTTTTAGTTATTTTATTAACAGATCCAAAATATATAGTTTATTTTTATAGAAGTTTAATTTTTTTTTTAACTTTTGGTAATACTGTCAGTTAGTTTATTAAATTTAATTTGATATAGTACAAATTTACAGTTATATGTTTAGAATTAAATTACTAGTATTAGATCTGTAGGTTAATAGTGTAGTAGTTAGTATTCTTGGGTTTTAATTACAAGATTGTAAGTTTAAGTTCAGAGAGTAACAAAAACTTTGTCAGAACTATAATTGAAAAAAGATCTGCAAAGGATTTTTATTTAAAAAGCAAGAACAAGATTTATATGAAAAAGAATGCAGTGACTGGCATAGTCACAAAGTTAAGAACAACCAGATAAGGTATAATTTGACAACAAATAATGTTAACTTTAAGAAAGTCTAATTTAAAAAAATATGTAAAATTAAGAATATCGAAATTTATGAATAATTTAGCTAGTAGGTTATGTGAAGTTAGGAAATTGCAAACTAAAAGAGATAATAAGTTCTACATTGCTGAATCAGAAATCTAGGATATTATATATTAAACTTAATAGAGCATAAGTTATCTTACAGTTTGGTAACATACAGGTGTTATATGCTATCTGATGATCTTTACAGAATAATAACTCTGGTCTTTAAGAGATGTGACAGATCTTAAAGATGTCTAAGAATCTTCAGAATAGTGGAAAGTGATAAAGATAAAAAAATAAAAAAAAATAAAAAAAAATTACTAGTACTATATTTGTTATTTAATTTTATATTACTGATTTCATCTAATTACCTATATAGTATCTAAATGCATATTTACTACATGCAGTTATCTTAGTAACTACTTGTGATTAAGACATATTATTAAACTACTACATAGACAAGAATACTTACTGAACTTAATGTGTATTCTAAATATCAAAAATACTGTCTTCTGTAATTGTATTTATATGTTCAATTAATATGTTTTACCTAGTCTTGTTTTTTTTGTCTCCTAATTTAATTATATCTAGTAATATTTTGTTCTTTATATTTCTTATATTTTTGTTACTATATTATTCCCAAATTGGTCCTATTTGGATATGTCTAATCCTTTTGATCTTCTATCTTTAGTATATCTGTTATTGATTTCTTTAAAGTATTCTAACAATGGTGCAGAATCTACTGTTACAAAGTAGATTTTAGTATAGTATATTATATAGTAATATTAGTAATTATATATATTCATTATTGTATTTTATATTATATTTATTATTAGTTATTAGTTAGTTGATAGTTATATTATATAGTAAATAGATAAAAGGATCTTAATTGGCTATTAGGAATGTGGTACAGTCACATTATATTGAGTAACATCTGTGATATTACTATCATCTTACAAACCCCAAGTACTTTTGTATAAGTTTTATATATCCTAATACCAAATTACTGTTTTAAGTGCTATAGCATAAGAATTCCAAGTATTCTTAACATGAACTTCAAGTGTTCTTACATGAACCCAAGTATTCTTGCACAAATCTCAAGTGCTTTTGCATAAATCCAAATGTCTAAATACAAGCCCCAAGTGTTTCAAGCATGAATGACAAATGATATAAACAATATTCCTAGTTGCTTTTATACAATCCCCACTACCTCAAGCACAGTATTATTTAATGTTGTTCGAATCTTCACTATTCCAAGTACAATGATATCTAATGTTGTTCAAATTCTCATTACCCTAAGTACAGTATTAAGTAATGTTGCTTGAATTTTTACTATCTCTACTAGGTAAAAAGATATATAAAGGGTAGCTTTTACTTTTCTTTGCCAATTCTAAGTTCCTATACTTTAACCTAGACTATTCTATCTTTATTCCTAACTTGTAAAAGTGATATTCTCTTTCTAAAGTAATTCCTACAAGTAAGGTTGTTACTGTATGTTTATTTAATAAAAGTTAATCTATATACTGTTATTATCTCAAACTGTTTGCCTGCTGCTATGTAGTAAAGTAAACTATTACACCTCTATCCTATATATATTTGCAATAGTTAATTACTATACTGGGTGACCTTATTATTTGGTTGTATTGTACCAAGAAGGCTACAATTCTGTAATATTATAATAAATCTGTATCTCAAGTCAGACTTACTGTTATTATTGATCTTTTAACCAATCTGTATTTCAAGTCAAGTCTGCTACTATCATTCTTGTAAATGTCCTAGATCTTAATATTATATAGTAACTTAGTGTTGAATTTAATCTTTAACAAGATGCTCTTTTTATAATAGAAACTGAAACTTGTTGTACTTATAAACAGAACAATTCTAATTATATCTAGAAAGTTTTTTTGACCCTAATGATAATATATACAAGCTTTTAGCTTATTAATAATATCTGCAAAACAATTCTAATTATGTTTAGGAAATTATACTGATCTTAATAATGTTATACTACCTTACAGATTTTATTTCATATTAGTTAGTTAATTCTAGTCTTGTTTATTATAGACTTTTTAATATATACATATAACCAGAATCTAATTTAATGCCTTTATATTGTACAAGAAAGTTATATGCCATCCTTTTTCTATATTTAAATTATTTAGCTATGTTAGAAGTACTTTTAATTTTTGGTTAGACCAATTCTTTATCATAAACCATTCTTATATTCTATTAGCAAAAAATATAAGTAAAATATTGCAAAAAATTTTGCATACTGAAAATCTTTCAAAATAACTGCAATTGATACAAAATTCTTTTAAAATAAAAAAATTTCACAATATTGCAAAATAATTGAAAAAATTTTGCAATATTATGAAATTATTAGCAAATTTTCAAAATAATGCAAAATAATTAGAAAATTTTTGTAATAATGTAAAACAATTAGAAAATTTTTGCAATAATGCAAAATAATCAAAAAAATTTTGCAATATTGTGAAATAATCAGAAAATTTTTACTATTACTAAATAATTAAAAAAATTTCAAACTATTTATTAATTTATTTAATTTTTAATTATTATTTATTAAATATAATTTTTTATTCAATTTTTATTAAATAATAATTAAATAATTATTATATAATAAAAAAAACTATACTATATATCCTGGTCCCTATTAAACCTTTCTGGCAAAGCACAAAACCTATTAACAATACAAAAAAAACAAAAAAAAAGTGAACTGGTACTTATTTTATATCAGTTTCAAGTTTAAGATCCCAATCCTGGTCCCTATTAATCCTTTTCAATAAAGCACAAAACCTAAAAAAAAAAAAGCAAAAATTAGTAACAATACAAAAAAATATGAAAAAATAAAAAAAAAGCAAACTAGTATTTATCTTTGTACCAGTTCCAGGTTCAAGATCCTGATTCTGGCCCCTATTAATCCTTCTTAATAAAGCACAAGACCTAAAGAAAAAGAAAGCAAGAATTAATAAAAGACAAAAAAACAAAAAACTTGTACTTATCTTTGTACTAGTTTCAGGTTCAAGATCCCAATCCTGGCCCCTATTAACCCTTCTTGGTGAAGCATAAGACCTAAAGAAAAAGAAAAAAGAATTAGTAACAAAAAAAAAAAAACTAAAAAAACAAAAAAAAAACAAAAAAACAAAAAAAAAAAGAAATAGTACTTATCCTAGTTCAAGATTTCAATTTCAGCCTCCATTAACTCTTTTTGGTGAAGCACAAGACCTAAAGAAAAAGAACAAGAATTAGTAATAATAAAAAAAAAACAAAAAATAAAAAAGAAAACAAAAAAAAACAAAAAAAGAAAAGGTTACTTATTCTAATTTAAGATTCCAATCTCAGTCTCTATTAACCCTTTCTGGTAAAGCACAAGACCTAAAAAAAAAGAAAAAGAATTAGTAACAACAAAAAAAAAACAAAAAACAAAAAAAAAAATATAAAAAAAAATAAAAAAAAGGGTTACTTATCCTGGTTCAAGATCCTGATCCCAGCTTTCATTAACTCTTTCTGACAAAGCACAAGACCTAAAGAAAAAGAAAAAGAATTAATAACAAAAAAAAATGAAAAACAAAAAATAAAACAAAAAAAATAAAAAGGTTACTTATTCTGATTCAAGATCCTGATCCCAGCTTCCATTAATCCTTTCTGGCAAAGCACAAAACCTAAAAAAAAAGAAAAAAAATTAGTAAAACAAAAAAAAATAAAAAATAAAAAAAATAAAAATAAAAAAAAAACAAAAAAAAAGAAAAGATTACTTATCCTAGTTCAAGATCCTGATCCTGGCCTCCATTAACCCTTTCTAGCAAAGCACAAGACCTAAAGAAAAAAAAACAAGAATTAGTAAAACAAAAAAAATAACAAAAAA